CGTGCCCGGATGCGGATCAACGGGGATGGGACGGTATCGTTATGTCTTACGTAATTATCTAATTGCATTCGTTCTCGATAAATCATCTTTTCTTTTTTTTTTTTCAATTACGTATTCACATTGTACAAAATCACATTATAATTTTACATTTATCAGCTTAATATTATAATGTTAATTAGTTTCGTAGTGTATTATTACAATTTTTTGTTTCGAGAGTTGAATTTTTTGTTCAATTATATTTCATTTATTTATATATATATATATTTTGTTAAGAAAATAATAATCCTGTTATACAATAATATTGTTTAAGAATATTTATTTACTATCCCTAATTATAAAGTATCTTTTTTTTTGCAAACATTTATCACATCCTTCGCACATTAATATACATTTACATTAATACTTACAACTAATTGAACAGCCTCTAAATTAATATAGTAATAAACAATTGTAAGACATAAATACTGTTACGGTAAAATTATTTTTTTTTTTTTTATTCGTAAAAAAAAAAAAAAAAAAAAAACAAAAAAAAATTAGAAAAGATGAATTTTTATAAGCTAGTAGATTCTCCTTATTGAACATTCGTTGGTTGCGCAAAAAAATGATGAAAGAGAACTGCTTCCCTATAAGGCGTGTTTTCTTCCTCTCTCTCTCTCTCTCTCTTTCTTTCTCGATACATATATGTCACATGTAGTATGTCTAGTTATAGTATTTTAACTGTAACGAGTTTCAATGGTATCACGTAATTCGCTGTTTCCATAAGAGTATCTTTGATGTTTGCCTGAAGAACTCACAAGAAGAAAAAGAAAGAAAGAAAGAAGAAAGAGAGAGGAATATTCTTGCGAAATGTTCCTTGTCCAGTATCACTTATTTCACTAGATGTCTAAAAAGATTTATTAGCCTAAAGCAGGATAGAAAATTGGTCAGTACTCAGGACAGGGGTTTAATTAATAGTTTAAAGGTAGAACTTGGGTAAGAATTGGTTAGGGATTTAATGACAGGACACTTAGGAGTTTTGTATTTAAAAATGACCACAATCCTTATTTGCATTCTTCAGGATTGCCCCACCAAATATTCTTACGGGTGTTCTACTCCAAGATATTAACATAAGCGAACCACCTATTGGTGGACTACCTTTACCCAATTGGCAATGAACGTAAGAAAGTTGAACCAATTGTTGACCCAATGGAATACTGGAATCAATTGTATCGGGATTATATTCGGAATTATTTAATGATGATGATGATGATGATAATATTGATCTGTTGTGAGAATTTTTGAAAGCTTTCAATGGAATCCTTGGAACGAAACGAGTACCATAAGATGTAAATGTCGATGGTGGTGTGTAAGATATTCTTGTTGATTCTTCATCGAATGCTGATTTTAATAGAAGGTTGAATCCAAATATTGATCCTTCGATACCTTCTTCTAATCCTTTATCAAAATCTGAATACTCTTGGCCTAAGACTATGTCACCTGATTTCGGTATCACATGATTCACAGTCTAAAATTAAAATGATTATACAATAGTTTGAAAATAAGAATGAATTATTGTGTAATTAGGATAATTAGTAATAAATAATTATACCAGCGTATTAATAAAAATACGAAGGAAACAGTATTTGTTAAGATATTGGACGAACCTTTTCGGAGAAACCTTGTGTCTTTATTCGACCATTGAGCCACAATGCAAATCGACCTAATCGATTCTCCCAACTTTGACAAATATGATACCATCGATTTTCTTGAAGAGTAACACTCTCCTCAAATACTTTGATCCCACCGATTTCCAAATGAACGCTCCGACCCTTTGGAGATATCCATCCTCTTATAAATCGATCTTTTTCGTTTTCTAACAAAATAAAAACGCTCGTTTATTTCATATGACATATTTAAACTAATTTTATACTTTCCAATTTCGGATGAAAAGTTTCGATATTACGTTTGCGTGTGTGGGTACAATCAAATATGTGCATATTTAAATAAAATGAATAAAATAAATCGTAACTAAAAAAAAAAGAGGAAGAAGCAGTTTGATAAAAGTGAAAGAGAATTTATTTATTTATTTATGTATGCGTGCGCGTGTGTGCGTAGATTCTTTTTATAAGAACTTTTTATTATATCGTTCGATACATTCTATTTCGAATGAAGAAATAACTCAAATAAAAATCAAATAAACGATATTTGTTTTTTTTAACTAAAATTTGTAACAAAAAGATGACAAAAAAATGGTAAAAAGCTAACAAACAAGGAATAAATCTCCTTTCACTTGTTGTGTCACGATAAGATACTCTCTTTAATTCTTTTTTTCTTTTTTTTTTAACTTTCACTTATGATAACTACTAGGTCAACCAATAAGTAATGTTACAATTGAATGACATACCAAGAATCCTAAAGTACATTTTTTTTTAAATCAATCGCTTACATTTTTTTTAAGGAATATTTTTTTTTTAATTGTAAAAAGGTTCCTAAGTTGTTTATTTAATATTGTGAGACCACAAACAATTAACTTAAACAGAGCAATAGATTTTGAAAATCGCCTAGGGATTTTTGAATTAATATTACCCAACATTTTGAACCTATTCCAAAATTAAAATTTCTATATTGTTTATTGTTAATTACAATAAATTATATTTAGATACTTACTAGAGTAAGAAATTATCGATTGTGGATACGTAAAGTTGACTGAACGCAACCATAAGCAAAAAGTAAATTCCTGTATATTAGGTACAGGTAATTCCCACCTGAGAAACTAAAAAAAAGCAGAACGAAAGACAATGAAATTAAATTACGAATTAACTTTTTCCTATCGGTAATTAGAATTCTATCTATTTAGAGCAACAATATAAAAAAAGGTTCATTCGAATTCTCTTTTGTGATTGGTCGTTCGAAAGGTGATTCTTAAAGTAAACTTCTTTTTATCGATCACTTTCTTATTATTTTTCTTGTATTAAGAATCTTCACACAACAACCTTGATGATAAAAATACAAATTAAAAAATTGAATAATTATTATCTAAAAATAATCTACTTCTATTAAAAATAATCTAACTTATAAGAAACTTTTTTTTTTATCAAAGCATAGAAAAATTGTTGAATTCAATAGTCATAGGAAATTAAATAAAACTTCATTATTTTTAAACATTATGAAACAATATTTACCTGAATATAATCTTTCTGAGTAAGAGTGTACATATGTAAAGGTGAAATTTTTAATTTCTTTTCATACCATTGATCGATCTTCAATGTAGAAAACTCCAAAGACACACTTTTAATCAAACATCCAAAAATTATTAGAGAAACACATATAATGATATTAGATACGAACATTTTTATAATCCTTACTTTCATTCATTACTTCTCACGATTAAAGCAAATCTTTGACGAGCATGAAAAATCTCTTCTGATTGAATTTTTTTGTTGAATTTAAATTGGAAAGAAACAAAATTCTATATTAAATAATATTTTTTACGCAAAAATCAAACTGAACGATGATCAAAATAATTGTAATATTTAATTGAACACGACACTTTGATAAACTTTATCTTCTTGTTCTTGACACTTTGCTGTAATTAACAACAAATGAAATTTAATTTTGAAACTCCTATTCCTCTCTCTAATTCGTTCACCTGTCGTAATTGGACCGCTATTTTAACTCTCTTTATATTTTTTTTTGTTTTCTTTCTCTTTCTTTATTCCTTTCTTTTTAATTTAAACTAATCCAAGAATAGAAAAAGCACGTATTACGTTGCCGAACGCACTGCATGAGTAACAACGACTAAGAAAGGGAAATAGATGGGAATCGGCAGAGCCCGTTTGCTTTTACGCTTGCTTGAAATCAAAAAGAGGGAGTTCAACCTCCTGACGCATACCTTTACCATATGGTTTTTTTGTCATTAAAGAAGGGATACCTTCCACTTTTTCTTTTTTTTTTTCTCTTTTCATTTGATTTTATTTCATTGTTGTTATTAATTTAATATTTAATTGAACACTTAACAACATATAATATTTGAAATTAGTGAATTAGGTGGACATTTAAAATGTAATAAACAGGCAAAAATATAGAATTTATCAATGCAAGCAGTGCGAAGATATTTTTATAAATTTAAAAAATAGAAAGAACAATTGATTTTTATTTTTTTATTGCATAAGTGAATCTATTAAGATTTTTTTCCACGGTGATAAATTATTATACGTACTAATTGGAGAAATAGAATAATTTATATTCCTGGTGTTCTTATTTATAATTTCTAAAAATTTTATGAAGTATTTTAATTGGAGATTTTTTTTTCCCCCGATAAATTTAAGTGATGAAACAAAAACATTTGATTGTATATGCAATTGGATTTAAATTTCCTACTTGAATAAACTATTATGTGCGCTTGAACAAACCAGCGAGAAAGCAAACATAGAGATTGGAAAATGGTGAAATCGAACCGAACAAAATGAAAACTATTTTACGAACGTGTACTGTAAACGTTTGCTTCGTTAGAAAACTCCTTTTTTTTTTATTCCTATCATAGAGAGTTTATGAATTTCAAAGTTAAAGAGTAATTTTCTTTATCTATAGGAAGAAATAAATTGTTTATCTATTATCTATATCAAATAACAAAAAGTAAATAATTATTTAATATAATATATCTCGACTTTCTATAATTAATAATTATTTTATTAAACTTTATAAATCTTTTTTTTTTATCAAGTACAATCACGCAATTCGATTTCTCTTTTCTAATAATTGTACTTTTTTTTATAGAAGAAAGGAAGTATGTGTTATAAAATAATGTGGCTTATTATCTACTCATTTCAATAACAATTTTTACAAAATAACAATATAATATAAAATTGAAAAATATTAGAAAATAAAAATAATAAATCAATACGAAAAATAAAAATAGATCCCGTATTTCTACACATGAGTTTGTACTTCCAATCCCTTTCAATGATTTTATTTGGTACAAAAATAAATGAATAATTAGTTGAATATTTGTGTATTTTCAGACAGCAAAAAATTCGAATTCCGGTAGTGGTGGATATTACGTTGGTGGTAGTAGTACTTTACCTCGAGGTGGACCTCTTTTAAGGGCGTATAGTCCAGCAGCATCTTCTGTTGTAGCAGGACCAAATGCAACCCCAACCCAACCGAAGCCATTATCTACACCAGGTATTACGTGCGCTAAATTGTTCATTCTTTTTTTTTTTTTTTTTTTTATTTAAAATTGCGCACAACTAAATAATTTACGAATGATCGACGAATTTTCCTGGCCGATATTTCCTCGTGAAAACGGTGTCTCTTAGTCTCCAAGAATCGAGAACATTTTTTTTTATTTGCTTTTTTCCTCGACTACAACAATAAAAACGGATTCGGATCGATCGTCCAATGGAAAGCCGCGCTTTTTACGTATTTACGTGATAATCAAATTGTTGTTGCACCCTTTCCATGCTTTTCATAATATTCGATCTATCGAATTGTTCACAAAAACATTGAGCAATAAATTCTGCAAAAATATCAATTTTACCTAATAGTATCTAATACTATACTATTATATGAAAATAGTATGACATTTCAAAATTACTTTTATTATAAAAAAAAAGAAAAACATTATCCATTACTACAATTAAGAATAAAGCAAGAACATTACTTTTAAAAATTAGAACAATTCGATAGAAATAATATTGAATAGTGAAATATTTGATATCTAAATGAATATGTATATTCAAAAAAGAAAAAAAATTAAAAATAAATAATGAAATATTTATTTAAATATAAAATATAATCAATACTGAACGTTAATCGACTAACAACAATTAACTCGAGCTCTAATATATATATATATATATATATATATATAAAATATATAAATATCTGCTATTTATAATATATCTCGTATGAAATCATATAAATTAGTTCTATCCAGCTTATTTTATCCTAGCACGTATTTAACATTCTCTCTTTATCATGCTACTTTCTATCATATGCTTATATATAAATAAACAACAATTTTTTTTTGTTTTTCAAACCGAGCATCCCAAAGCAAACTCGTGCACAAAATTTACTTTCAAACGATTCGTTTTGCTCGATATAAAGTAATCAGTGCAAACAGTTAAGTTTCGATCGAGAAAATTCGATGCCAAAGTCCTTTTAAAGTACTCAACAGGGCTCGAATTCGAAACTGGGACATTAACCGATCACAACCCCTTTCCATCTTTCTAACCACCACCTAACCTAAACTTTTCTTTTCCAAGTTCCCTACCAATTCAACCTATTACGTCACTTCACAATCCTATCCTGATATCGACTAATTAAGGCCACTCGATTACCCACCCCCAACCCAACCCAACTGATCTCCAAAACACTACCTCAAACTTTGCAGCTGATTACTAACACACGTTAACAAATAATTAACTTACACGGAGTTCCAGTAAACAACTACTTTCTCACCTCCCCTGCACCCCCCCCCTCACCCCTTTGCACCCCCTATATACTCACCAACAACTACCTTGTAAACAAACAAAATTGAAGAACATAATAAAAGAGTCAACAAGAGAGAGAGAGCACGCAACTTCCAAATGATGCTTCTTTTTTGTTCGAGCTAATATATTATTTGTTTATTTTATGATTATTATTATTATTATCCTTGTATCCTCGAGATCGATAAAAAAACGAATCAAAGGGACTCGAGGCACCGTTCCGACTTGGACAAAAAAATCGCCTTGTCCGAGATTTCTTCAGATTGAGCTAATTGATTATTTATGAGGATGTCACCTAACTGCATATGTATGTTTATGTATGTATGTATATGTGTACGTCTTGTAAGGAAAAAAGATTGGTTATTTAATAGTAGGATTGTTTTAGTGATCTTCCAAATATTTCAATTATTATATTTTTTCATTTGATTTTTAATTTATAAGTGTTTGAACTTTTTATTTGTTTTAGAGTATGGTCATACAAGTAATTTACTTTAATCATTAATAATTCCATATATTATTTTTTAATAAAAAAAAAAAAAGTCCTACAATTGAATATGAATATTTTTTGCCTATTTAATAAAATCTTAGCGAGATAAAGGAAGAAAGGGTGGGTGCGTTTGGTTGGTAGAGAGACGGGCGGTGGAGAAAGAAAAAAGAAAAAGAGAGAAAGAGAAGAAGTACGATAGTTGAAGTTGATTCTTCTCGTTTGGCCAAAAAATAAATACATAATATCTCTCGGCTTCAAAAGTATTTCTCTCTCTCTCCCCGCGAGACATTCTGTTTGATTTTTTTGGATGGATGAATTAGGTGGTGGCGCGGTGCCGCCAGCCAAGCCGCTTCGAAGCTACCAGTGCGGCAAAAATCCCCTTGGAAGTCTTGGGGGCTCTGCTCGTTTCTCTAGAGACAGCTCGGTCTCCCTCTATAGTATACCAGGTCAGTAGAATCCTTGAAAAAGAAACCAAAAAAAAAAACAGACAGACAGAAAAAAGAATAACCAAAAGAAAAATACGAAAATCTTCAAAAAAACGGACGAGCAGGTGGAACGTCTACTATTCTATCAGAAACGCCCAAGTTTCTGTATCATCGCGTATTTTGAAAAGTTCATAACTTTCGGGGGAAATACGTTCGTACGAGGAATCGATATTTCGTCCAATCGGAATGCCCTCCGTATTTTATATACATACATATATAGATATATTAAGTGATACACGAAAGTATTTGAACACTTCCCATGAAATACTTTATTAATTATAATAAGTATATTATACAACACTTATACCGACATATTATTAACATTGGATGAGGGAGATATGACTCTCTAAATTATATTAAGTTTAAAAGCAAATCTAAATATATATACAATAGTTATGATAATCGAAGTATGGAGTTCAGAAAAGTTAGTAAAGAGTATGCATAATCGTTTACAAGATGTTATTCATGCCAAAGGTGGTATTAAATACTTCAAAGTTATCTGTTCAAATACTTTTGTAGCGTCGGCAATCTCTTTACGTTTATAAGAAATAAATCATAACTATTGTATATATACTTTTTTTGATTTTTGCTTGAAACTTTATTTATATAATCTAGAGAGTCATATCTCCATCCAATGTTAATAATATGTCGGTATAAATGTTGTATAATATACTTATTATAATTAATTATTTCATGGTAAGTGTTCAAATACTTTCGAGAGTCACTGTACGTGTATATGTATATAGATTTTATATTACACACAAAAAATAGAAACCTTTTGCAAAAGTAGTGTGCATCGTCATCCCCCTTATAAACAAAAGTACATATATTAAAAAAAAGATCTAAATCATGCATTTAAAAGAAACAAAAAAAACAGTAGATTTGGATTGACCTTCCATAAGCACGCCTCCGAAACCCGTATTATTTATTTTCTATCCTCTATTTCTGTCGTTGATGACGTAGTCGTTGAAAAATCGCCAATTCATACTATGTACATTATCTACAATATGTAATGTAAATGCGATCCAGTTTTCACTTGCACATTCGTTCGGTAATTTGCTCGAAACATTATTATGTATGCTTCCCATAGAAAGATAAAATTAAATAAAAAAATAAAAATAGATTAAGATTTTCAAATAAAACACGAAGAGAAAGATAATATTGAAATTAACAACGAGATGAAATGTTATTTAATCTTACGAATTACGATAAATCATCCCACAGATCGATTACACGGAGAAAGTGGTTATATGAGCAGTCCTGAACGAGGTGGTGGTGTTGGATCTGCTACCGGAAGGTATCCACCTGGTCCCTATAGTACTGGTAGCAGTTACGAAGAACCTTATTATTCGCAGTACTCCGGAACAGTTACACCTGTCATCGATGAAGAAGCAAGGTGAGCGGAGTTTCTCGAATTCTTATGTCTCCTTTTTTTCTCTCTTTTCACATTTCTATATATCATCGATATTTCTCTTATTATTTTTTCTATGTACCTACCTCTATCTGTCGTCCCTTTTCCTTTTGGGTAACAATCAAATATCAAACTATTATTTCGTATTTAATAATTACCTTAACCATCATTTTCCACGCTTACGTGTATTTTAAAAACATCAAGGTGAACGGAATCACCCTAAAGTTTTTTCTTTTTTCTTATCTATCATCTATCTTGGTATATTTTTCTACCTTTGTCCTATTCTCGTATTAAAATCGCTTACTAAATCATTTTCCACGCTTACATGTATTTTATAAACATCAAGGTGAACGGAATCACCCTTACGTTTTTACTTTTTTCTATCTATCATCTATCTTGGTATATTTTTATCCCTTGTCCTCTTCTCGTATTAAAATCACTTCACAATCATTTTCCACACTTACATATGTTTAAGAAAAAAATCTAAGCGAACAGAGTGATGTTTTTTTTTTTAACTATCATCTATTATCTTTTTCTCTTTCTCTTTCTTGTCCTCTTACGGTCCAATTAAATCTATTTATAAAATCATATTTAAAAATCATTGAAAAAATAACTCAACCCACTTATTAAAATTCTATCTAATTGATCAATAAATTCGTGCAATTTTCCTCGTATTATTTAATTAAATATAGAAATGAATACTGATGATATAAATAAATAATAAATTAGTTTTAATTAATTTCTACGCATAATAATAATAGTACTATTTAGAATAAAATAGGAAGACAGACAAATTTGTTGGTCAATGATTATAAAAAATTAGCCGATGATAGTTCTTCATGAAATTCGGTATGGTGGGTATATCAGATTGGAGAATGGGGGATAAAAAAATAAAGATACAAAAAAAGGTGGTTGTCTAAGATGATAAAATGGATAAAAGCACCCTTGGATGACTGATAGCGTGGATGTGTATATCTGTTGTGGGTGGTGCAGCGATACGGAGCTATTGGAGGAATCTTACAGCCTGTACGGCGTGAAACCACCAGGTCGACCACCTTCTGGACCCCCTCGATCTCCGTTCATACCACCAACGGCAGCCCCTATACCCACTGGACAGAGCTACGACGCTACTCGGTATTCACCTAAACACTCTGCCCTATATCGCATTTAGTTTACCTATCCTCGCTTTTAAGCTCATTCTTCACTCTCTTTTTTATTTTTATTTTTATTTTTATCTTTATTTTTTTTTTTCCTCTCTATTCTCGTATCTCATGCACCGGGATTTTCTTCTATTTTTTTTTTTACTTTTTTCTTTTATTTTCAATCATACACACACGCGTGTTATATTATGACATTGGAATAATATAAATCAACAAAATTCAATATAAATCATAGAATGAATTTTTAACAATTTTGTTTAACTTTGTCCACCACTTTCGTAATTACCGGGACATCTAACAGACACATATATACATACGTATATGTACACTGATTTGAATCTCAAAATAAATTCGATAGGAATTTGACCAACTTTTACTTTTTTCTTTAGAAACCGTTTAACATTTTTTCTTTTCCCTCGTATTTAACATTCTTACGTTCTTTTTTTTTTCTACTGAAAAGAAAAAAAAAGCTGTTTTTCCGTAACTATACCACATTTAATCTCTTATTAGAGTAAATAGGTTAACTTTATTCGATTACTTTAACATTTAACACCTTACATTTGTTTATCTCTAAAGACAAACAATTATTTCAATATTCTACATTTCATTGTAAATCTCATAAGAAAATCCCGGTTTTCTTTTTTGACAACAATTTTATAAATTCCTTCATACTCCATAAAAAAAAAACAATAAACAATTTAATAACAATATCGATACTCGAATCGATCATTTGCAAGATTTGCAAGAAGAAAATGATTGCATGTTGGGAAAAGGATGCTGATGATGACGATGATGATGATGATGACGACGATGATGATGATGATGATTATGATGATGATAATAATGATGATGATGATGATGATGATGATGATGAAAATGATGATGATGAAAATGATGCTAGAAGAAGAAGAAGCATGATCAAAAAGCAAGAAAAATTAGTCGTGGAAGAAACGCCCTAAATTCTTCACCATTTTCTATCCTTATTTTATTTAATCCTTTCGTTGACAAATAAATTAAAACATAAAATAAAAAACTATCCTCTTTCTCTCTCTCTCTCTCTCTCTCACACTTTTTAACTTTGTCGATAATCGCAGCAGTGGAATGCAGCATGCCGATTAGCGGACTTAGCAACAATAACAGCAAGAAAAAAGCTGTGAACTTTCGAATACGACTTTCCTAATCCTTTCTTCCCTTTCTTCTGTCCTTTTTTTTTTTTATTTTGTTTTTTATATTTCTTTTAGACGAAAGAAATTCTATTTTACGCATAGGAACGATGCACGTGTTTTATATGTTGCTATGACGAATATTCAATCCGATGTTAGGACATGATCGTCATTCCGTGTAAATCAAAACAAAAAAAGATTACATTTTTTAATAACGAATGCAATGATATAATTTAAATGTAAGCATTTTTTTTCCATTGATGAAAAATGATGTTATTAGAGGATCGTATCTGAAATGATCGAATTTGTTGTTTCGAATTATAATAATAATATTGCAATTTATTTTTGTTATAAAAAAAACGAATGTTTTTTTACCGATCGAATAATAAGAAATATGAACAAATTAGACTCGAACAAATGAACCTTTACAAGGCCATTAACAAAATCCAATTGAAAAATTATTTCTATTTGCAAAACCACGTGGCTAATATTAATTGAAACATAGAACTATTCTCGCTCACTTTTCTACTTTCTTTTTTTCTTTTACTTAATAATAATTCTAATATAGAAAATGGATCATTTTGTTCATTAATTCATTTTTAATCATAAAATAAATCCCAATTTATCGTATGATAAACAATATTCGATTTCCTTTATTTAGCCCATAAATAAAATTGTCAAAAAAAAAATAAACATTTCGCTTGTTATATTGTTAAACTTACAAAATTTGGCTTTATGAAGAATGAATAAAAGCAATAATTTAAAAGATCACATTTAACTCGATACGATCCTACTTTTGCTTTAAATGAATGTACGAAATATATATCGAACCAAATAAAATAAAATAAAATTAAATCAAATAAAAAGGACACGAACGTGACGATGTTTAGCTTTGCCTGCGCTAAATATTTTAGAAATCATGTATTATAGTTATGTGCCAGCCGAATTATGCGTTATCGTCTATTATCGATAGAATATCTGATCAGTAGCAGCGCATCTTGTAAGATATTATTCCCTTTGCAAAATGAACGAACGAACGAATGAATGAATGAACTATCGTAACATATCGATGTTTTTACACCTTTCTCGAGGAATGGCTTTTGCAAAACCAAACAAACCAAAAAAAAAAAAAAACAAACAAACCAAACAACCCCCAATGAACCAAAGAAACCCCTGCCACTCCCCCACCAAAAAATATTTCAACAAAATAAAAAATATAAAAACAAGTAGATATAATTATTTCAATTAAATTATTAATCATACATCGCAATGATTGTTTTCTTTTAATAGGATAAGGGTGGAACACATGGAAAGACAATTGGCTAATCTGACGGGTCTGGTTCACAAAGCGTTGACACATGCACCACACACGAGCCCATCACCGAGAGACTACTTACAGGTTCCTGCAGGTCGTGACCCTTATGCGCGAACTACAGGTACGTTCGATCATCCTCCGATTCTAATTCCTAACACGTTCTCAAATTTCCAACAAAATTAACAAAAGAAAGAAGATAAACCTTTCCTATCTATCTTTCTATCTATCTATCTCTATCTCTCTCTCTCGCTCTCTCTATCTCTCTCTCTCTCTCTCTCTCTCTCTCTCTCTCTCTCTTTCTATCTTTCTCTATCTTTCTAACATACATACACATACACACACATACGTGCATATGAGCCATTCATTAGCCAATCAATGAAAATATTCACAATTATTTGACCATTTTATAAAATAAGAAAAATACCATGGTTATTGTTGGCTACCATGTCCAATATTTATTGATGACTTAAGTCAACAAACAATTGGAAAATTGAATTTTATGATTTAGTTAATATTCAAATTATTTATATTATAAAATTATGGTCACATTATTGTACTTAAATATATATGTATATGTTACCGTGAAAGGCAAAAATTGGAAAATGTCAAAATTCACATGGTCGCTTGGTGTATGTCTGAAAAATTCATTTATAAAAAAGAAAACTCACAAATACGTATTTGGTATGTGTTGACAAGCGACTATGTGAATCTTGACATTTTCCAATTTCGATCTTTCACGGCAATATATATATATATATATATATATATATATTTTCTTTGATAATAAAATTGTATTTAATTCTAAACAATCGAGTTAATTGTTTTTGCCTATGAGTGACTTATATTTTAAACTAGCACACACACACACACATACATATATATCTATATAAGTTTCAACAATGAATCTATTCTTCTCCCTTTCCTTCTTATCACAATCAATACAAAGTTTTACGAATTTAATTGCTATCTTAGCCGCATACTTTGTTTCTCACTTATTTCGAGAACCATTTATCAAAATCAAATCGTAATTATCAAACTCCTTCCATCTATTCGACTCTATTCTAATTCATATATATGTATCTTCAATCTTTTCTCTCTCTCTCTCTCTCTCTCTCTCTCTCTCTTTCTATCTCTATCTATCTATCTATCTCTTTCCATAAAATCTAAATCTAAACCAATGACCGTAATATCATAAATGTATCTGCAAATTATCCACATTGTTGTTAATATTTCATTGTCATTTCATTTATTCCTCTTCCAACCTCCTTCACCCATTCTTCCCACCTCGTCATTTTCTTTTTTTTTTTTTTTTACTATTCCTTCAATTTGATTTGACCATAAAGAAAATGATTTCCATTGTCCTTTATTATTATCGCAAAGCGAAAAATAAAGATAAAGAAAAAAAGTATAAGCAAATCGCGTTATTCGGGTTTACTCGATCAAATAAATTCCGAGATGCGTGCTGAAGGCAGATTACTCTTTTATTGACGAAAAAGAAGCGATTGTGTGTGGATTAAATACTAGAAGAAGAAGAAGTTCGCGAGCTAAGGTATGACACACTCTCTCTCTCTCTCTCTCTCTTTCTCTCTCTCTCTCTCTCTCTCTCTCTCTCTCTATCTATCTCTCTTTCTATCTCTCTTTCTATCTCTCTCTCTCTCTCTCTCTCTCTCTCTCTCTCTATGTATCAATCTCAATTTGTTTTAACATTAAATCATTTATTGTAAATCGTACGCAAATTAAAACGCGATCGATCATTACTCATCCATAAATAAGAAGAAGAAGAATTTGTCAAAATTCAATTAGAAAATGAAATTTCGTTTACATGTATATGTATGTGTGTGTGTGGGTGCGTTGGTTCATGTGTATGCGCGTATGTGTTAATTCATGTGTACCGGTAATTATGACTGTGGACTAATCAAAGTAGAAAGATTGAAAAATAATTGATTGTATGATTTATTTTATATATTACATCATATAATTATTTATATTATATATATGTTACCGTTATAACCGGAAATCAGTCGTTGCTAGTAATTCCTCGGCATTCTCATCAATGCAAAGAGCATTCCGATGAAAACTTATATTAAATTAAAGTACACTCTTTTGTCTACGCGTAGAATAGTTTGTCGAGTTATAAATTTAGGATGTAAACTTCAAAAAATGTCAGAGAATGCAATGCTGTAAATTGTGCATCTTTGCAATCTCTTTTCCGACTTCGTCTGAAGGCTCTTTGGATTCATAGTAATGCCGAGGAATTACTAGTAATGACTGATTTACGGCTTTGATGGTAACATATATATATATAAAATAAATAATAAAATCACAAGGTTTTTTTTCAATATTTCGACTTATTGTCTAGTCCATCGTTATAATTACCTGCTCAAATATATCTGTGTGTGAATTTTTATAAAACGTGGGGGTGTCTGTAAGAGATTTAAAAAAAAAAAAAAAAGAAATCAATTACTCTGTTTCACAAGCTCCGCTGAAACACAAAAAAAAAACCTGAAATAAATTTCAAAAGATCGTGAAATATAAGAAAGAATATAATTAATTTGATAAAAATCATTTACACAGGTAACCCATCGTGTATAAAAATGTAAACACATACACGTACATGTATATGTTTAAATTCGTAATAAAATTGGATAGAATGTTGGAAATACGATATATAACGAAAGGTAGGCAACGATTAACGAAATAAATTGTTCATATCGTATTGTCTTAAAAAATAAAAACATGTTTCTTATCGTTGTTTGAATTTCGTCTAAATAATAAAAAGATAAAAATTAAAAGAACAAAAAAAAAAGGAAGAAAATAAGAACCCTGCTGTACAACTGCTTTGTTATTCTGACTAATGCAAATACATCAGGCGCCGGGGATGAGTTCGACAAACATTCTAGCTCCAGCTCTGCCTCACTGCCAGGTGTGTCTCTTCATCTTCTCTATCTTCTATTTATTCTCCTATTTATTTGCTATATTATTGCTGTATTTAATATAATAGAATACATAAAATTGATTCTATTATTATTATTATTATTATTATTATTCATATCACATAATATATGTGACAATAATTTATATGAGTGGTGATACCAACAAAATTTCGACAAATTTATTTTTATCTTTCATTTAATATTCTCATTATTTACATTATCATTTATTCAAAAAAATCATTGATTTATATGAGATTAATTTTGTCAATTTTTTTCATTTAATCCACAATCATAATTAACGACACTTATATACAAAATGTTTCAAAATATGTTAATTCTAACTAAAGGAGTGGTTTCAGTAAGTTCAAATAAGAAACAAAAATTCGTATAATCGTAGAGATATACAATTATATCCAATCACACATAATCACTACAATCAATAATACAAAATCATATTGGATATAATATGAACTTTCATTCTTACTTTAACGTACTAAAACCACACATCCCTAAAAGGACAATTCTGGCACACACAATTCTAACACAACTCTGACGAAACTTTGACGCACCCCTGACATACCATTGTACGTACTTCATTTTTTTATCACACACACACATAATATTTATTATTTTTATTAATATTATCATCTCATATTATAATTTTAATTTAATTATAATTATTATTACGTTATATAATACGATTATTCTATTATTTATTGTTCTATTTTAAAGGTGTATATATACGTACATACATAGTTTCAATAACTTTGCTATTAAATATTAATTTACGAATACTATTTGTTTCTCTTGGTTTTTAATTTTAAAATACATATGTATATACCTACATATCACCACGTTTTCTGTCTCTATCATTCTCACGAAAAAAATCTACTACGACGCGATCTACGCTGTCAACATTTAAGTCTGTCAAACTACCGTTACAGATGACTCATTCTTAAGGACAGATGTTAAACCACCGAAATTAGGCAAAGGTGCGATTAATTCACATAATGACATTTATATTTATTTATATAATATATATAATATATATATAATATATATTATATATTAGCTTTTTTGAACGCTGCACTGCTAGCTCTGTCAATCACCGTTGCACGATTTCGCACACATCAAATTTTCTATTATTTCTTTTATCTATCTATCTATCTACCTCTATCTATCTATCTATCTATCTATCTATCTATCTATCGATCTGTCTATCAATCTATCTATCTTTTCCTAAATTTCTATCTATCACATTCTTTCTTTCTTTCTTTCTCATTTTTTCCTTAATTCCCCCCCCCCCCTCACCCCTTCGTTTCTCTAGAAATTCTCTACATGTTATCATTGATTTAATTCGCTTTTGTCAGCATATAATTATATTTACACCATAATTCCAATCGATTTGTCATTGTTCTCTGATCTTACAGCACCATTCAAGTTCTCCTCTCCACCACAATTTTTTTTTCTTTTGCATGTCGCCACATCTAATTGATCCAACAAGTTTTTAACCCTTTGAACTTTGACCTCAATCTTGTAAAATATATTATTTTATGTGTCGGGTATGGTTAATAATTAATATTGAAAGCTCTTTTTTTTTTTTTATTAATATTCAAATAAATATAATTCTATTATTTTGCCGATTAATATTTGGTTCGTTGTGAAAATATTTTCATTAATATTTTTTATAACGAAAATTTCAACGTCGTATATAAAAAAAAAAGTCATAAAATATGAATGAATAAAAAATAGGTGCAAAGGGTTAAATTAGCCGACAGAAAATAAAAAATACAAAAAAAAATAAAATGATTGCACACGTAAGTTAGTTAGAAACAAACTAACCGAACGATGATACCAAAATTACAGCACTTCAATTAGATATTTTGTTCTCTAAATTATTATTATTATTATTATTATTATTATTATTGTCTCTATCAAGCTTGAAAATGAAACAAATAATTAATTAATTCTTTTGATATCCAAATTTTTGAAGTGGTTTTTTTTCTATATAAACGCACATCATTTTATCTCTTCGCACATAAATATGAATTTAAACAATACATAATATAAACATATGTATAAATGCAAGCTATTATTATTATTATTATTATTATTATTATTATCGCAAAGATATTATTTTTTTTTTTCAAACGTATTCAGAAATCACCCTAAAGAAAATCTATTTTTGATCGACATCTATTACAGACAAGTCGGTGTCCTTTGAAAAGTCAGTGTCCTTCAGTGACGAGCCACCAGATATGAACTCACCGAAACAACATTCCCCTCAGCACGCAGGTAATAAAAATCATCAAACACACCTACACGTCATTTCACCATTGATTTCTTTTTCTCTCCGAGCATGTTGTTTATCGTTAAGTCAAACGATCAAAATGGTTCTTCAATTATTTTCTCTTTCTTTTTTCCTTTCACCATCATTTTCTCTTTCGCTCGAACGATTTAATTAACAATTAAATTAACAATTAAACTAATTGCAACAATTACATTTATCGAGATATATTTGTTTAATTCTTAATACAACAAAAAAATAAAAATAAATAAAGATAAAAATGTAATCCGTTTGGAACGAGCGAAAGAAAAATATGAAGGAAGAAGAAAAGAAAGGAAAATTGAAAGAAAATGTAAAGTTCAAGATTACATATTACGAAAGAAACAAAACAAAACAAAAAAAACAAGAAAAAAGCAAAAAAAGAAAATGAATATGGTTTGAATCTCTCGACGAAAAAAAAAAAGAAAAAAGAAACAAATAATTGATAGAGAGATAACTAACAGAAAAATAATAATATCTCTAACACCTTCTCGTACGATTGTGTCCAATGCCTACCATCGACTAGCGGATACAAAGCCTACGAAACCGGCAATCAAATCCTCCACGTTGCCGAGGATGTCTTCGCAAGGTAATCAATACAACCAAATCTTGTATGCTTTCAAATATCATCGCCAAAATTATTCTATGTATATGTACGTAATAATAATATCCTTTATGTGCGTTGATGCGTATGTGTGCATATGTATGCGCGCGCGTGTTTGTGTGTGTATATACCTAGAATTCGTAACATTATAATAATTAATCGTCATATGGGTTTGTCATTGTCTTATTCCTCCATCGTCTTCCTTACCTTAAATCTGCTTAATCCAATTACTCGATATAAATTATAAGATATATGCGAAATACAAAATAAACAATAATTATAAGTTAATATATATATCTACACGTATATTATTTGTATTTGTAAATGGATAAAATTGCGTTGGTGAAATTATTCGATGGTTTTTGAAAAGTTAAAGAAATTGATTTTAGGATTTATTTTATTAATATCAATTTAATATGTAATATGTAATATTATAACAATATATTACAGTATTACAATATTATTATATTACTTAGGTCCACCTTCAATACTTATATATTACCCCTGCATAATAATAATTAATATTATATTATGTCTTCGTGAATATTTATTTTTTTACGTCTGGGGAAAGCTTCGTAGAGTAATTTGACAATTATATTTTTATTTTATATTTTTTTTTGTGTCCAAGTAAATACTTAAATATTTATCTTCATTATTTATTTGAATAAAATTAATATAAAAATGGATGATTTCAGAACGAGAGAGACACAAGCCAACGCCACCACCAAAACCAGCAGCCTTGGTAGCTGGTCAATATGTCTACCGTGATTTAGCCTTGACACCAGAGATGTATAATCAATTGAGAGGATTACAGAAAAAAGCTAAGGATCTTAGACAGGATGTTAGGAATCTCCGACGCTTGTCACAATCTCAAGCTCATACTATACGTGAAACTATTAGGGATACTTTCATCACGATCAGGTATTTTTATCTTCTTTTAATACTTTGCTATCTCCTTTAATGATTCATGGAAAAAAAAAAACTATGAATAATTTATTTACATTTTATTTGAATAATATTTTTCAGAGCAATGTTATTGTCCGGTGGTGATGCTGCTTGGACAACTGGTGATGCCGAAAAAGTTCGACTAAGTCGAGAGGAAGACCTCTACAAACAGGAAATGCTTAGGCTGGAAAAAGATCTTACGTTAGTCCTTACTTTAATTCAATATTTCCATACACAGGGTGTCCTGTAACCGATGGTACAAACGAAACAATAATACAAATTACAAAGAAGAAACCTTTCAAGATATAATCAAATATGAAGAAAAATTAATTTTGTATTTTGAATAAAAATTTGTAGCGAGCTCGAGAGTACGGTGGAGGAACTTCGTGGTAACGTCATCAATAGAAAAACACGTGTTAATATGTCAGACGTGGAAAATATGGCATTGATATTAAATAAATCGAGGTAAAGAAAAAACCATAATCACATAATCTCAAAATGTTTATTTAAACTAAATTAATCTTATCTTATGTTTATTAAATTAAATTATTATTTTTCCTTATACGTTTCAGCACAGCCGTGGCGGATCTGAAGGTACGATTTCCAAGTCTACAAGAAGGTATGAAAGGTCTTTTAAGTTCGGAAATGGAAAAAATCGTACGAGAGGAGAAGTTCCTAAAGGAAGAACCTGAACGATTGGAGTCTGCATTGAAACGTTGCAAAAAATTAACGGGAACGCTCGTTACGCTTAAACGGTGCGTTTGTTTCGTTCCTATGTCCTCGAAGAGAATGATCTCTTATTAAGAATTATTAATAGATATACCTGTGTGTGTTGTTTTTCATTGATAGAAGTAGGGGGAATACAATCTTCGTGTTTGAGTTTCTTTTTAGATTATTATTTTAATTACTTTCAACTAGATATGCAATCTTATTATCTTTTAGTAACGTAAACCATTAATTTTTTAATAATTATATTTTTATAATATAATATAAAAATGAATATAAATAAATATGAAATGATTGAATGTGGTTGGCTTTCAGCTTGGCCTCGGTGCAAGAGCAGCGATTACCAAATGCAGCAAGCGTAGATGCTGAAGAAACACCACCTATAACACCAACATCTGCACAACATTCAAAGGTAACGCTCGATTGGCCCGCTCGCTCGCAAAAGCTCGCTCACTCGCTCGCTCGCTCGCTCGCTCTCTTTCTTTTCTATCTATCTATCTCTCTCTCTCTCTCTCTCTCTCTCTCTATCTCTCAATCTCTCTCTCTCTCTCTATCTCTCAATCTCTCTTTCTGTCTTCCATCTTAAAAGATAATAATAATAGATACGACAATAAAAATTTTTCCTTATTATCCAAGACCCCAAAAACAAAAGTGTTCGTTTAAAACGAGAAAAAAGAAATATAAACGAGCCACGAAATAATTTCCTTCTCTTGCAATCTTCTTTTCCAATTAATTTCAAAACAAAAGTAACGAAACAATTAAAACATTATAGTTTTCAAAAAAAGAAAGAAAAAAGAAAAAAGATCCTCCATCCCTGCAACTCCACCTCTCTTTCTTTCTTTCTTTCTGTCTCTCTCTCTCTCTCTCTCTCTCTCTGTCTCTCTGTCTCTCTCTTTCTCTAAATAATTAATCCTCGAATCGATCATCCTGCATCCTCCCAAAAGAAAGAAGAGAAACATACAAGTAAAAATAAGTAATATGAGATTTAATGCATGATACGATTTTCCTTTAAAAATAATACCATAACTCTAATCCATCCTTCTTTTCCTCCTGATATTTAAATTAAAAGAAAAAAAAACAATAATAAAGAATATTGATAAAAATCCTCTTTCAATCTTGAAAAAGTAAAAAAAAAGAAGAAGACACGACGAAGAAAAGAAAGACGAACGAATATCTTTTTTTTTTTTTTTGAATAATCTAATAAAATATGATCGAAGAATATTATTAAGCGCGAGCCGACCAGGCAAATTGTTTTCTTTCCTTTTTTTTTTTGACTTTTCCTTTTTTTGTAAGACTTATGTTTTTTATTTGTTTTTTTTTTTTTTTATATTTTTGTAACTTTCCTTTTCTTACACGCGTTTCCTTCGTCTCCTTTTTATAAGTAAATTAATCTTCAATCTCTCTTTTCTCTACTTTTCTCCCATTTAAATAAAAAAAAAAAAAAACAAAGAAATAAACAAAAAAATATATAAATGGACGTACGGCACGCTACGCTTTACACTCGAAAATTGTCCGTTCATCGATCACAAAAATGATAAACCTAAAATGAATCTTATCTATTTTTTAATTTATATCTTTTTTTTTCGTTATAATAAAAAAAAAAAAGGACAAAATAGAAATAATTTCGATAATCGAAGAAAAGACAAAAAAGAAAAAAGAAAATAATTCGACGAGACAATATCATTTTTTCCTAACAATTTTCTTAATTTTCTTATTTTTTTTTTCTCACCTTGTGAATCCTCGAAAAACCCTTATCATCCTTGACGGTCATCCGACGAGCACGTTTTTTAATTGTAATCAAAAATAATTCAATTAAATTAAGTATTATAAAATAATAAACGTCGCGTATCAACGTTCGAGCTTCGCGTGACACTCAACCGCTTATCGTAGATACGTATTACCTCTATATAATATATAAATTTATATATTTATATATACATACATATAAACACATATTTATATAAACTAAAACAGTATGGGAACATATAATTATATACATATATAGGTACCCAAAAATACATATATGAATCGTTTTCTATGAATGTGGATATAAGTTCATTATTGTAAACAATAAAAAAGAGATAACATATAATTTATTTATAAAATT